GCAAATGCGATCAACACCCCCTCGTCAAATCCTAAAAAAAAAAAAAAAAAACAAAAAAGATGGGTAGGAACAGGAAGAGGCATGGCACTTCACAAGAGAACAGCAATGACAGAGCGCCAGGGAAGCACAGAAGAAAATGTAGAAACAAAATTGACAAAAATGGATAAAAATGGACATCTTGGTATGTAAACAGGGCTATGGTCAGGTCAGTCAGGTAAATATGACTGAAGCCACAATTTATTTTTTTTGGATGTATGAAATAGTGCATGAATGTATGCACTATTTTAATGTATTAAATAGAGTCTCTGAGTAAATATATACGAAAGAAAAGCACATGGAAGAAAATAAAAGCCATAGCCATTCAGTGGACAAAACCAACAGTAGATTATTTCAAATAAAAACCTAATTAAGACAGTTTTGGGGGGGGAAAAAAGGAAATCTAGCAAGAATGCACTTGATTTCAGCAGTATTCATCAAACCACAAAACAAGAACAATGAAGTAGAATGAATAGAGTAAGTGTCTGGCAAATACTTGCTTTTCTCCATTTTTCAAAACAAAGAAACCAAACAAAAGAAAACACAAATTTTCTACGAACTCTTATAATAACCTTAAAGGGCACGATTTTGCTGTTTAAAGAACTCTGTTCTTCATTAAGTAGCCAATGTTACCCCCAAAATGATCACTCTAATTGCACTGATTTTTCCTTGGTATCACACTTACATTGATCCAAACAATTTTCTGATATTAGTTGAGAGAACAAAATCAGTATCTGACTTGTTACCCCGATGATTATTTGCATGCTGGTTTGAAAAGACTTTAGTGGCTTTATTCTGAGAAGACAAAAGGCATATGTAACAGTCACACCCACTAAACGCACAGTAAAGTGGTATGTGAACAAAGATAACATCATACACAAACACATTAACCATGTGTTGAAGTGTTTCTTGACAACCTCGAACTTAAATGAAAATAAAGTGTTCGTTACAAATATTTAGACTTGGGAGATCACCAGACTAATCTGATGCATTTAAAAGTTGGAACAACAAGGTATATTCTTCAACGCGACTGAGTCACAAAAATCCCAGGGGTAACACAATGGATTACTAAATCATGCAACAGCTGATGCTTGTTTAATATCAGGATTTCACAAAATAGAAGAGAGGGACAATACAGAGTTTCACTTTTGCCTATAGGCAAGAGTGGCTGCTTCGCAAGGTATACTAGTATTGGACAGTATCATCCAACATTATCATCAAATTGTAAGTAACATACCAAATTACAGTTGTGACACAGAATAAAATTACACATTTGGCAACTTTTTGAAGCCTCATAAATTCTGTCTTGCTTTTTCCAGAATACAGCATATGGTTGTGTAAAAAATCCTGGACATGCAAAATACACTACTCCAATGCTTAAAGAACACATGTAAGGAAAGCACAAATAAAACACAGCAAAGCATCTTTATTAAGAATCTGGGGGTTTACTAAGAATCTGGGCATTTATTCCCCTAACACATTTAAAAAAATATATTTTTTTAATGCTGAAAACTGGAATGGAAAATAAAAAGCCAAAATATAAAATCCTTTAAAACATAAACTATAATTACTCTGAAAATAATTTGGCCCATTCTGAATGAACTGTATTCTTTAGCTAAAGATGTAACGCAGTAAAAACTTCAGCACAATTCCAACCATTGTTGCACTACCCGTTTGGGTAGTAATCAGCTCTGGAACAAAAATAATTTCACTCCCAAAATGTAACTGATTTCTAATTAGATTTTGGAACTGGAGACAGACCTACTGAAGTCTCTAATCACTCTGTTTAAATTATAAGAAAATCAGGCAAATACATTAACTGGTTCGACTTCTCACCACAACAGATAAGGAGCACGCAAAAGTTAGGAAGAGCCCAAAGGCAGTATAAGGCATGGCCAACACCTTTCAGCTCCTGCCTACTGATATTAGTAAGCTTTTTCCAGCCCAAACTGTAGAGGATAGCCCTCAAGTGGAGTAAGAGGTGGCTCTTCTATAGCCCTCTGCTCAGAGAGGGCTCACAGGTACACAGAAGAAACAACAGATGACTTAAGTGGTCTGTGAGTTAGTCTTTAAGCTCACGTGACCAAGAAGCAGTAGCCCAGCACTCTGCACAGCAGAAGAAAAAGGAATACAGACAGGAAAAATGAACAAGCAGGCCTGTCCAAGCACGCAGACACAAACTCAAAACCCCAGAGTCACAGTGAACAAAGCTGTCTCATTATACTTCTCGCATCACTCAGTTCCAGGACATTCACCAACCAAAATATATAAAATACTTCATATTCGTGGAACTGTAGAATTAGAAAAATATTTGACATTTCAAACTACCACAAAAGTTGCTTTAATAAGTTACATGTCAGATGTTTCCCTTTCCACAGCAGAAAACAAAAAAATCAACAACCAAAATGGCTAAAAGCTGAAACAAAATGTCGTGGATCTGCTTTGCACAGACAGGCCTGCTGTCTTTGCTAAAGAGCAAATCTGTTGACATTGAATATCTTAACACAGTGATCAGCTCCACAACTTGCAAGCTGCAACCACTCGCTGCTGTTCTGATCATTATGTCCAGCTCTGCCCGCGTGATGTCTCCAACATAAACGTTTCACAGCAAGAGCATGGCTTTGGCTGCAACAAAAAGAAATCCATACGTAACTGCAAAATGTCAAACACAGTTGGGCATGTGAGTATAGACATCAAAATTTATATAATTAGTACTCTTTTTCTAACACTACCAACTGAGGAAGAACTGACTTGTGACAACCAGCAGGTATTAAGTTCTTAAAAAAGTAGGGCCATTAACTCTAATGACATTTTATCCTCTCAGTCATCAATAATTTAAACAGCTATTGATTTCAAGTTTTACCACATTAAGCTGCGAGCCTAGCATCTCAATTACTGAGATACGTCAGATTTCTGGCTTTTAGCCTGGAATTTCCTGTTATCTGGTGTCTCTTTCCAATCCACTTCGAGCACAGACATGCCAAAGCCACCATAAACTTTCATATTTCTCGTACTACGAGTGCCAGTATGTGACGGAAGAATCTAGGAGAGTGCTCCAAGTGAAATATTCAAAGTCTCTCTACAGAGAGTTTCCCTAGCTGTCACCACAGCAGCACACAAATAGCTTGTCACTTCTTCGGTTTCTGCGAGAAGCTGCTCTTGAAAACTTGCTGTCACATACTCCAAAATGTTTTGCTGATATATATATACAGATAGTGATTCTTTTCTCCCCTCTTCAGTGTTTCTATCACCTTATCTTATGGCTAAAGGTAATAAATTGGGTTTTGGGGGGTTTGTTTTTCATTTTCAGCGGGGTTTTGTGTTCTGTTTTGTTTAAAAGGGGCCAACAAAGGGTAATACTTCTGAAAGTATTTGCATAGCATGAAGTATTTTGGGGTTTAACATCCCCCCCCCCCTTGATTTTCATTGGGGTTTGTTGTTTTGGGTTTTTTTTAAATAAATCTAAAGAGCCAATATTCTTATTTCCAGGTTTTGCTTAAAGACTTCTTTAGACTTTCAGGGATCAACCTTATCCTAAAATGATAATGATTTTTGATATACAAATAAACCAGTTTCATGTCATTTTATACTGTAAGAACAGAACTCTAGCACTATTAGTCTCAAGAATAACACTTTCTTGCTCCAAACTTACTTCAAAAGCCATACCTGTTTTCCATCTCCACACAGGTGGTCCAGTCAGCTAGTGCTGGTTCTTGCCCACTCTGCTTCCACGTGTACAAGATAATCTTCCCATTCTCTAAACCTGCTGCAACAATATACCTATCAAGAGAATAACTGCATTAGTTCTGAAGTGATTACAGTAGGCAGCTCATTGAAGCTGGCTCTATCACAAGCTAGAAAGAACCAGCACTCAAACACTGTGTTGTACCTTGCCCTTCGAATCAATAT